TAGCTCAAATAGTTTTTAAGCAATCGAGCCTCAAAGTTGACTTTAAGTCCAAATTTTGTCAAAAACTTTAAACTCAATTTGCTCAAAAACTGGGCTCAATAAATCTGGGAATATTGTAAATTACAGACCATTTAGAGCTTAATAAGAGCTGTAAATGCTGGAAATTTTAATGCAATTTGGTCAACGGTTACCAAGCAATTGAGGTTTGAATATTTTGATATCAGAATTCAAAGGGGGTAGGTACCCTTATGAAAAACTCGATTTTTTATTTTTCATTTTTGCTCAATTTTGACTTCCCTAATCGATAGAGCGGGTCAAAATTAGTGGTAAACAACCCTGACATCAATTCCAAATGGTCATTTTAAGCAGAAACAAAAATAAAAAGAAAATCCTATTTTTGGCTTTGGAAGATTTTCAAAATCTTGACTTGGTCATGAACAATTGCCCATACCTTTAGTAAATTTTAAGCAAATTGAAATAAATTATATACCAATAGAAAGAGCATTAAATTCTCTATAAATCTTGGCAGAATTGGGTTTGATAGCTCAAATGGTTTTAGAGGAATTGAGCCTCAAAGTTGATTTTTAGTCCAAATTTTGTCAAAAACTTCAATCTCAATTTGCTTAAAAACTATAAGTCTGGAAATATTGTAAATTACAGGCCATCGAGAACTTAATAAAAGCTACAAACTCTAAAAATTTTAATGCAATTTGCTCAACGGTTACCAAGCAATTGAGGTTTGAATATTTTGAAATCAGAATTCAAAGGGCGGGGTACCCCGCCCCTTATGAAAAATTCGATTTTTTTATTTTTCAGTTTTGCTCAATTTTGACTTCACTAATCGATAGAGCGAGTCAAAATGAGTGGAAAACCACCCTGACATCAATTCCAAATCGCCATTTTAAGTAGAAACAAAAATAAAAAGAAAATCCTATTTTTGGCTTTGAAAGATTTTCAAAATCTTGACTTGGTCATGAACAATTGCCGATACCTTTGGTAAATTTTGAGCAAATTGAAATAAATTATATACCAATAGAAAAAGAATTAAATTCTCTATAAATTTGTGTAAAATTGAGTTTGGTAGCTCAAATGGTTTTTAAGCAATCGAGCCCCAAAGTTGACTTTTAGTCTATACCTTATTAAAAACTTGAAATTCAATTTACTCAAAAATTATAAATCTGGGAATATTTTAAATTGCAGTCCATTTGGAGCTTAATAGGCGCTACTATTGTTGAAAATTTCAATGCAATTTGTTCCACGATTACCTACCAAGGAATTGCGGTTGGAGATATTTGAAATCAGATTTCAAAGGGGGTACCCTTGTGAACATCTTAATTTTTTAAAATTTTTGGTTAGGAAATAGAGGCCGTTTTACACTGCCACGCCCTTCGGGCGAAAAGACCATAGGGGCCGGTTCCACACTATTTAACCTTCTGACATAGAAGGGATGAGGGCCGGTTCCACACTGTGAGTGGAATGGAGGCCGGTTCTACACTATTTAATCCTCACTGTGGGTGAAATGGAGGCCGGTTTTACACTATTTAACCTTCTAGCATGGAGGGGATAAAGGCCGGTTCCACACTGTGGGTGAAATGGAGGCCGTTTCCACACTATTTAACCTTCTGAGATGGAGGTCAAGATGACTTGGTTGGTTGAACAGAGTAGATCACAATAAATTTGAATTTAATTCGTTTCTGAGCTTATTTTGAATAATTTTAGTTCTTGAAAATGCTCATCTTGTCCCATAAAAAGAACATTATATTGAACGATATGTTGCAAAGTTTATTATTTCCTTTAGTCGGTCGAATTTGCAAATTCTCAGTTCTTTATTCTTCTTTTTCTAAATTTCCGTTTCAACTATATATTCTATTCTCGGCTCTTGAATTTTGGGTATATCCTGCTCTAATGCTTTATAAAGGATACCAGAAAATTTTATATTTCTGGCTTTTATAGTTTTTGAGAAATTACTCCATTTATGCAAGATTGTCATTTTTCATTTCTTCAAAAACTATGTATTTATGTAAATGCATTTGTAACTTTTGTGCCCTTTGTTCGATTGCTTTAAATTTTTGGTATATCCTATCCTGCTCTAATGCCTTATAAAGGATACCAGAAAATTTCATATTTGTGGCTTTTATAGTTTTTGAGAAATTCCTCCATTTATGCAAGATTGTTATTTTTCATTCCTTCAAAAACTATGTATTTGTATAAATTACTTTGTAACATTTGTGTCCTTTGTTCAAATGATCTAAATTTTCAGTATATTCTGCTCTAATGTCTTATACTACCAAAAAGTATAAATACCTTTTATAAACAGTACAAAATAAAATAGTATTTCCTGAATTTCTTCTACAGTTTTTTTTAAATTTCCTCTCTGCGATAGAAAAAAAAAAAACATTTTCTTTGTACAATTTGACAAGGAATTGACAAGTTCTAGATGAAATTCCGTTTAAAAAAGACCTATTTTTGCCCTACAGGAGTTTTGCATAGCAATTTCGAATGCTAAAAATCATTATTAATGAGCTAAAATTCCCTTCTACGTTGATATTTTTGTCTCTCAAAACGTGGAATTATTTAAGAGACTTTTTCTTCTCAAGACTTTCACAATTACCAAAGTTTGTAGACACACCGATTCACCAAGACTGGAACTGAAACATTTTCTTCTACAATTTTTCTAAAATTTTCTCTTTCTAAATTTTTTATCTTTTCTGTTAGAATAATTTTGTCTCTTCCCGGCTCTTGAATTTATGTTTTCTTGTTTCTTTCTTATTTATTGAATTTCTCATATTGCTGTCTCTTTATTATTCCAAGCCCTTGGGCCACTCAAGCGCCGAGAGTAATCAAAGTTTGCGTCACTATTTCATATCCCACTTTATCTCTGTCTTTTTCTTAACCGTTGAATTTCTTATGTCGTTTTCTTTGTTCTACTTGCTTATTCTGGGCTTTTTATTGGCCAGATACAAAAAATTACATACATAGCCCACTCAAGCATCGGGAATAATTATTAAAATTCGTGTCAGGTTTTCTTCTTATCACACTTTATTTCAGTCTTTTTCTTATTTATTCAATTTCTCATATCGCTGTCTCTTTATTATTCCAAGGTCTTGGCCACTCAAGCGCCGGGAATAATCAAAGTTTGCCTCACTATTTAATTTATCCTACTTTATCTCGGTCTTTTTTCTGAATGTTGAGTTTCTTATATCATTTTCTTTCTTTCACTGGCTTATTGTTAATTTTTTCATTGGCCAGACACACAAGTTTTATACAAGCTCACTCAAGCGCCGGGAATAATTATTAAAATTTATGTCACATTTTTAATCCCACTTTATTTCTGTTTCTTTTTTATTTATTGAGTCTCTTAGTATTATACTGCTGTCTCTTTATTAACTCAAGCTCTTTTGCTCTAAGCCACTCAAGCGCCGGGAATAATCAAAGTTTTAGAATGGTTCCAAAATGACAGTAAAGACTACCAATAAAGGTGGGTATTTTCTTATTATTTTTCTCACAAAAGAAATAATTGTTCTGGAAAAGTGAATGACCTTGAAACTCAAGCGCCTGGAATAATTAAAATTCGTGTCAAATAACTAGCGTTTGACAGCTACTTGACAGCGACAATTTCGCAATTCTCTGCGGTCGCAAGTTACAGAATAAGCTGGCCGGAATTTGGTGTAGTCTCATATTTAGATGATATTATCAATACAGGAATTAAGACTTGTCACTCACGTACCAATTGGTTAACCATTCCATTCGCCTACCAAACAGCAAATGAAAATCTGTGGCAAAATCGCCTATAGTAATTCCAAAATAAGTTAACCACAACTTTTAGTTTAACTTTCAAAATAATTTTATAATACCCACCCTTATTGGTAGTCTTTACTGTCATTTGAACATATTTCAATGATATTTCAGTCATCATTTTTTGAAAAATAGCTGGTGCATTAATCACGCCAAACGGAACCCTTAGGTATTCTTTCCTTCGGGCATGATAAATGCCGTTTTATGAGTTGATTCTGAACTTACGGCAATTTGGTGATAGATATGCTGTGGCAAGGTTGAGTGTGGCAAAATATCTATATTTTCCTACCGAATCAATAACATCTTCATATTCAATTAAGGCAGAGGGAATTTTATTTTTTTTTCCGTTATTTTATTGAGGGTCCTATAGTCTACTCCCATCTTTTTTATCCACTAACAAAGCCGGACTTTTTTTGAATAATACCTGCTGACAAACAATTCTTAAATATGTTCTCTCAAAATTTCCTTGTCACTTTATGAAAGTTTATAAAGGCGTGAACATACAGAGGTTTTGTATCTTTACGTTCTATTTCAAGTGAATCAGAATGTGTTTTTCCCAATTTGTTTATTGATACGTATGTACATGCATGATTCGAACTTGGTAACACGATTTTATCTCAGGAACTATAACTGCAAATGAGCTGAAATTTTCTGGGATTGTAGTCCCTTTATTGAGATAAGATTCAGTGAAAATTTCAGCTTTCTATCTATAATAGAAAATAAGTTATGCCCTTCCAAAGTTTTCGAAAATCTAAATCATAAGGTAGCCAGCTTCTTACTAAAACGATAAGATTTCAATTTTTTTTTTTGTTGAGATTTTGTGTCCTTAATGGTCAATTAACATCCCCCAAACTCCATACACTAAATTATTTTCAGATTTGAAGCCGAAATCTATGAAAAAAGGCACTCAGAAAAATTGAAAAATTGATAAATCACCCCAAATTCCTTAACAGGATTTTATCTCAGGAACTATAAGTGCAAATGAGTTGAAATTTTTAGGGATTGTAGTTCTCTACTGGAATAAGATTCGTTGAAAATTTCAGCTTTCTATCTATAATAGAAAAAAGTTATGTTCTATACAATATACACGCTCAAACACAAAATTGTCATCTCCTACGAAAGCAGGTTGGGTTCACAGTGGTTCAGCATCTTTTTGAAAATCGAAGATATTTACCGATGATTGTTGATTAAAACACGTGAAAAAAGATTGTTTTAAATTAAGTACATTTTATTAAAATAAAGTTGCATTTCCTCAACGCACAATCCCCTTAAACCTATAATTTTTCTAAGTAGGTACAAAGTGCTCTTCAAAATAAGAGAATATCAACTTAACATTAAAAAGAAAAAATAATAATAATTTCACTGGTAAATCTGGGAAGAGTATGGACAAATTAAAAATTCACTCAACCTTAAAACTAAACTATTGTAACACTATACATACTTAAAACTAATAAGGCAATTATTGTGACACTAAAAAAAAAAAATCACAAATTCTTTCCCGTAGGTGAAAACCTATGAGTCAACTGAGAAACTAAAGACTTATTAACTTTATTGTGTAATTCCTCTGAATCTGGTTCATTTCGTAGTGTTTCTACTGGCTCTTGATGTGGAGCAGCATCTGGCACTAAACCTCTAAGAAACAGTGACAGAACTGTCCAAGGAATAAGCCTAGAATTAAGAAAAAAATACATTATGTATGAATTATTATATTTCGAAGTGAAATTCTTACGATTTCATAATAAGTCCTAGTCTCATAGCGCCAGGAATCAGCACCATAGTCTCATTGCCTCGAATACCATCGATTATCCTGTCAGCAACGTCATTTGAATTCAGCCGAGGCAAAAACCTTGATTCAACTGAATCAAACATGCCAGTTGACGATATAAAATAGGGACAAACAGCTGTGGTCATCACTCCTTTAACACCTATAGTAAAATAATTGAAATTTCTATAACTTCAAGTTATTTTGAATATTTTTACCTTGAGCCTCCAGTTCTACTCGTAAAGCTTCATCAAATCCTACAGCTGCGAATTTGGATGAGCAATAGTCTACCAGTTTGTTTATACCTACATGGCCTGCCATGGAAGCTACTGTTACGATGTGCCCGTGCTGGTTTTGGATCATGGTTGGTAGGAAAGCTTTTACAGTCTGGAATTAATTAGTTTTAAGAAAAATTTGCTAGATTGGTATCAAGAAGATAAATTAATTGCTGAAACAACAAAATTCTCTTCATTAGCAGCTTTAGTGTCATTTATTGCTTTTGCTATACCAGCAGCACCTCCACCTAGTGCTCCTAGAGCAGATAATCCAACAAATAATGGGATAAGGGGTAAAATACCTCTTGTTTTAAAAATATAGACCCGATGTTGATTAAGAAAGTATTAATCACCTGTCAAAAGATGAATGTGGAACCCTAAGACTTAATTCAAAGACAAAAAAGTTATAGCCAATTTAATGAAGCGGTGTCGAATCGCCACAAAATGGTGAAAATTCATGGGAAATCAGAAAAATTAAGGGAAAAAAAGTTGGGTTTTGGGACTTTTTAGGATCCCCTCTACAAAATGACTATCTTGAAATTTCGAAATTTTGACTTTTGTTTTTGGCCCTATACCTTTAACCCTAAAATTGACGAAAATCGAAATTTCAACCGACTCCGTAACGGTAAGTCGTAGAGGAAAATTTCTCAGGGAGAATTTGTAGAACCCGTCGAGATCTACAAAAAAGCTTCTCGAGCCTTACCTCTCCGACACACCATTTCCGAGATATTTCACTTGGAAGTTTTAAAATCATTTTTTTTTTCGGCCAAAAAATCAAAAGTCAAAATTTCCCGGATTTTCTTTCACTACGTCATAGAGGAAATCTAGAGAAATGTCGTAACCCACTTTTTTCCCTTAATTTTCTGTTTTTCCAGGAGTTTCAGGCACTTTTCTAGACCCCATGAAATAAAAAATCGACATTTTTTGAATTTTGGAAAAACAAAAAATCCACTGTATAAAGGAGGCCAAAACAAGCAGAAAAGCTATTTAGCATTTTCCCATAGGACGTCTCTTAAGCCCAGAAAAAAAGAAAAGAAAATTAATAGAGTTGTGGCTTTTCCAGCCTGATATGGCCTTATTAAATGGGCCATAACTCTGGAACGCCTGGATCGAGTTATGTAACTCCTCCTTCACCTGACCATCAAATTTGGAGAACAAACACAAAATGAGAGACCAAAAAATTGATTTATTTTTCAATTTTAATATCTTAAGTCATACTAGGGGTAAATTTTATATCTGGGACAACTTTTTGTAAAAGGGTTTCTTATCTTCTCCTGTATCTGCCCATCAAATTTGGAGGAGAGACGCTAAATGAGAGACATAAATTTTAAAAAAAACTTGAATATTTCATGTTTCAAGTCATACTAAAAGGTAGTTCTTGTATTTTAGACATTTTGCGAAGGTAATAATTGACAATAGTGAAAGAGTTATGTAACTCCTTCTTCACCTGACCATCAAATTTCGAGAACAGACACAAAATGAGAGACCAAAAAATTGATTTATTTTACAATAAGTTATACTAGGGGAAAATTTTATATCTTGGACAACTTTTTGTAGAAAGGTTACTCATCTTCTCCTTTATCTGCCCATCAAATTTGGAGGAGAGACGCTAAATGAGAGACATATAAATTAGAAAAAACTTGAATATTTCATGTTTCAAGTCATACTAAAAGGTAATTCTTGCATCTTAGACATTTTGCGAAGGTAATTGACAATAGTGAAAGAGTTATGTAACTCCTTCTTCACCTGACCATCAAATTTGGAGAACAGACACAAAATGAGAGACCAAAAAATTGATTTATTTTTCAATTTTAATGTCTTAAGCTAAATTTTATATCTTGGATAACTTTTTGTAAAAGGGTCACTTATCTTCTCCTTTATCTGCCTACCAAATTTGGAGAAGAGACGCTAAATGAGAGACATATAATAAATTAGGAAATACTTGAATATTTCATGTTTCAAGTCATACTAAAAGGTAGTTCTTGTATCTTAGACATTTGCGAGGGTAATTGACAATAGTGAAAGGGTTAGGTAACTCCTCCTTCACCTGACCATCAAAATTTGGAGAACAGATACAAAATGAGAGACCAAAAAATTGATTTATTTTTCAATTTTAATGTCTTAAGTCATACTAGGGGTAAATTTTATATCTTGGACAACTTTTTGTAAAAGGGTTACTTATCTTCATCCTTATAAGATGGAGAGAGATATGCGTGACACTTATAATTCGGTAATTGTTAACAGTTTAGTTTGAAGTCATATGTTCATTATCTGTCATTTTTTTCTCAATTTTTTTACATTTTCTCTCTAGTTAATTTTCAGTTTTTCCGTTTCAATTTTTGTCTATTCTCGGCTCTTGAATTTCCATTTTCTTCCAAATTTCTCTATTTGTGAACCCAATTTTTCTCAATATCTCTTGAATTTCCTTTGATTGATTTTTCTTTAAAACCCATTGCAAACTAATCCCATAAATTCAAGTCGAATAATACCTGACATTAAATTATTATATGCAAATACGCAAATAACCATGAATCATCCATCATTATTGCCATAAACAAGTCAATTAATTAATCACTTTTAAATGACTTTCGATCAAAGTATAAAATTGGAAAAAAAAAAACATATTGCTTCCGTTGACAATGAAAATTTGAGAAAACGCATCCTATTCTATACCTATCTCTTTCGTTATCATAGTTGCTTAAGTTACTTCAGTTTATTTAATGACAACCAAGTAGGCCGTTTGCAGTGTTATGTTTCTCTCGCTTCATCCTTATGAGATAGAGAGAGGAGAGATACTTATGTATATGACTCTCATCCATTTGTTCTCCTTTTGTACTCCTTTACCAAATGAGTGCGAAAAACACCATGGGTTTCGTCGAACAACTACACGAAAATCGCGATCGGCACACAATAATCACTCTTCCAGTCTTGAAATCCATCGTGGCTTCACGTTGGGCGCCAATTTGTTAGATAATTTTTAGGGAAGTTGAGTACACATTCATCAAATATTCTTTAGTTTGCAATAACGCTATTTTACGATCATATTTTTTCCCATTTTTCAAAATTTTCCTTTGATATTTCAGACAATAATCACTCTACCAGTCTTGAAACTCACCGTGGCCCCACGTTGGGCGCCAATTTGTTAGATAATTCTTAGGGAAGTTGAGTAAACATTCATCAAATCTTCTTCAGTTTGCAATAACGCTATTTTATCAACATATTTATACCCATTTTTTAACATTTTCCTTTGATATTTCAGACAATAATCACTTTATCAGTCTTGAAACTCATCGTGGCCCCACGTTGGGCGCCAATTTGTAAGATAATTCTTAGGGAAGTTGAGTACACATTCATCAAATCTTCTTTAGTTTGCAATAACGCTATTTTATCAACATATTTATACCCATTTTTTAAAATTTTCCTTTGATATTTCAGACAATAATCACTCTACCAGTCTTGAAACTCACCGTGGCTCCACGTTGGGCGCCAATTTGTTAGATAATTCTTAGGGAAGTTGAGTACACATTCATCAAATCTTCTTTAGTTTGCAATAACGCTATTTTATCAACATATTTATACCCATTTTTTAAAATTTTCCTTTGATATTTCAGACAATAATCACTCTACCAGTCTTGAAACTCACCGTGGCTCCACGTTGGGCGCCAATTTGTTAGATAATTCTTAGGGAAGTTGAGTACACATTCATCAAATCTTCTTTAGTTTGCAATAACGCTATTTTATCAACATATTTATACCCATTTTTTAAAATTTTCCTTTGATATTTCAGACAATAATCACTCTACCAGTCTTGAAACTCACCGTGGCCTCACGTTGGGCTCCAATATGTTGGATAATTCTTAGGGAAGTTGAGTACACATTCATCAAATCTTCTTTAGTTTATAATAACGCTATTTTATCAACATATTTATACCCATTTTTTTAAATTTTCCTTTGATATTTCAGACAATAATCACGCTACCAGTCTTGAAACTCACCGTGGCCCCACATTGGGCTCCAATATGTTAGATAATTCTTAGGGAAGTTGAGTACACATTCATCAAATCTTCTTTAGTTTATAATAACGCTATTTTATCAACATATTTATACCCATTTTTTAACATTTTCCTTTGATATTTCAGACAATAATCAGTTTATCAGTCTTGAAACTCATCGTGGCCCCACGTTGGGCGCCAATTTGTAAGATAATTCTTAGGGAAGTTGAGTACACATTCATCAAATCTTCTTTAGTTTGCAATAACGCTATTTTATCAACATATTTATACCCATTTTTTAAAATTTTCCTTTGATATTTCAGACAATAATCACTCTACCAGTCTTGAAACTCACCGTGGCTCCACGTTGGGCGCCAATTTGTTAGATAATTCTTAGGGAAGTTGAGTACACATTCATCAAATCTTCTTTAGTTTGCAATAACGCTATTTTATCAACATATTTATACCCATTTTTTAAAATTTTCCTTTGATATTTCAGACAATAATCACTCTACCAGTCTTGAAACTCACCGTGGCCTCACGTTGGGCTCCAATATGTTGGATAATTCTTAGGGAAGTTGAGTACACATTCATCAAATCTTCTTTAGTTTATAATAACGCTATTTTATCAACATATTTATACCCATTTTTTTAAATTTTCCTTTGATATTTCAGACAATAATCACGCTACCAGTCTTGAAACTCACCGTGGCCCCACATTGGGCTCCAATATGTTAGATAATTCTTAGGGAAGTTGAGTACACATTCATCAAATCTTCTTTAGTTTGCAATAACGCTATTTTATCAACATATTTATACCCATTTTTTAAAATTTTCCTTTGATATTTCAGACAATAATCACTCTACCAGTCTTGAAACTCACCGTGGCCTCACGTTGGGCTCCAATATGTTGGATAATTCTTAGGGAAGTTGAGTACACATTCATCAAATCTTCTTTAGTTTATAATAACGCTATTTTATCAACATATTTATACCCATTTTTTTAAATTTTCCTTTGATATTTCAGACAATAATCACGCTACCAGTCTTGAAACTCACCGTGGCCCCACATTGGGCTCCAATATGTTAGATAATTCTTAGGGAAGTTGAGTACACATTCATCAAATCTTCTTTAGTTTATAATAACGCTATTTTATCAACATATTTATACCCATTTTTTAACATTTTCCTTTGATATTTCAGACAATAATCAGTTTATCAGTCTTGAAACTCATCGTGGCCCCACGTTGGGCGCCAATTTGTAAGATAATTCTTAGGGAAGTTGAGTACACATTCATCAAATCTTCTTTAGTTTGCAATAACGCTATTTTATCAACATATTTATACCCATTTTTTAAAATTTTCCTTTGATATTTCAGACAATAATCACTCTACCAGTCTTGAAACTCACCGTGGCTCCACGTTGGGCGCCAATTTGTTAGATAATTCTTAGGGAAGTTGAGTACACATTCATCAAATTTTCTCTAGTTTTCAATAACGCTAATTTATCAACATATTTATACCCATTTTTTAAAATGTTCGTTTGACATTTCAGACAATAATCACTCTACTAGTCTTGAAACTCACCATGGCCCCACGTTGGGCGCCAATTTGTTAGATAATTTTTAGGGAAGTTGAGTACACATTCATAAAATCTTCTTTAGTTTGCAATAACGCTATTTTATCAACATATTTATACCCATTTTTTCACATTTTCCTTTGATATTTCAGACAATAATCACTCTATCAGTCTTGAAACTCATCGTGGCCCCACGTTGGGCGCCAATTTGTAAGATCATTCTTAGGGAAGTTGAGTACACATTCATCAAATATTCTTTAGTTTGCAATAACGCTATTTTATCAACATATTTATACCCATTTTTTTAAATTTTTGTTTGATATTTTAGACAATAATCACTCACCAGGCTTGAAACTCACCGTGGCCCCACGTTTGGCGCCAATTTTTTAGATAATTGTTAGGGAAGCTGAGTACACATTCATCAAATGTTCTTTAGTTTGCAATAACGCTATTTTATCAACATATTTATACCCATTTTTTAAAATTTTCCTTTGATATTTCAGACAATAATCACTCTACCAGTCTTGAAACTCACCGTGGCCCCACGTTGGGCGCCAATTTGTAAGATAATTCTTAGGGAATTTGAGTAAACATTCATCAAATCTTCTTCAGTTTGCAATAACGCTATTTTATCAACATATTTATACCCATTTTTTAAAATTTTCCTTTGATATTTCAGACAATAATCACTCTACCAGTCTTGAAACTCACCGTGGCCCCACGTTGGGCGCCAATTTGTAAGATAATTCTTAGGGAATTTGAGTAAACATTCATCAAATCTTCTTCAGTTTGCAATAACGCTATTTTATCAACATATTTATACCCATTTTTTAAAATTTTCCTTTGATATTTCAGACAATAATCACTCTACCAGTCTTGAAACTCACCGTGGCTCCACGTTGGGCGCCAATTTGTTAGATAATTCTTAGGGAAGTTGAGTACACATTCATCAAATCTTCTTTAGTTTGCAATAACGCTATTTTATCAACATATTTATACCCATTTTTTAAAATTTTCCTTTGATATTTCAGACAATAATCACTCTACCAGTCTTGAAACTCACCGTGGCCCCACGTTGGGCGCCAATTTGTAAGATAATTCTTAGGGAAGTTAAGTACACGAGAAGAATTAAACGAGAACCGATAGAGAAAACTGCTTACTGTATATTGGTCTTAGGGACTAGGGAATTTTGTTACAAGCGTTGATATCCAGTAATTTCGAAGTATATTTTGAAAAAATGAATGGAACTGTAAGTAGCATGTTTGATTTTGTCTAAAAAACCATTTTCCTACTACCGTGCGTAAAATACTTACTTTACGCACTCTTAATGCGTAAATAATCTCTGAAAAATTTGATAAAATATTCATTTTACACCCTATGTTATGAAGACGTAAGTACCTATTACTTATTAGATACTCTAGGGCGTAGATATATAGCTTTATATTGTCAGTAGTAGAATTTTTTTTGTATTTTACATGTGTGTAAAGCCCCTTATTTTTTTCACTAATGCGATTCTGGTTCACTTTACAAACAAGTTCAATTAATATTAATACCAGTCATTAAATTTATTATGCAAATTACCATATTAATCATCATAATTATGCCATAAACAAGTTAATTAAAGTGTAATTTACCCAAAAATGCGCCACAATATTGACATCAAAAGTCCTCTTGATCAAATGATCCGGAGTATCGAGTAATAGGGCCCCTGAAACAACTCCTGCGTTGTTGATCAAAAGAGTAACCTAAAAAATAACTTACATTGTAAAATTACTAAAGACAAATTCCTGGACAACTTACATCTCCTATTTCTTTCCTTGTTTGTTTAGCAACTTTGTAAACATCTTCCCTATTGGACAAATCGCATTTGTACCCATAAGCTTCGCCGCCGATGCCTTTGACCAGTTGTATAGTTTCTTCGATTCCTATAATAATAAATAAGAATTTTGTGCAACCATGATGAAGAAACAAAGCAAATATATCGACCACCTGTTTAACAATTTACTTATAGTTTAAGAAGTTTTTCTCGAAAATAAACTTTCGTTTGACGACCTTCTTGTCGCGCTCCAGTTATGTTTTTCCTTTTTTGATTTTGTCGGGTTATATTAATGAAAAATACGCAAATGTGTCTTCGTTTTAATGAGGTTGTATAACATTGACGAAAACAAATTTTCCTTGTTTGTTGTGTAATTTTAATTTACAATCAATAATATGTTGTTTTGTTTACGGGTCTGTGATCATCATATTGATGGTTGAAATATTCCAAATATTATGATGTTTCAAAGTTGCTTATTCCAAATTATAAAGTTCAACTTCAACTCAACTAAAGAAGTAAAAACTCTGCTCTATGATTTTTGACTAAAAATTCAGCCTAAAAATCTTAGAATTGGCTCTTTTTGAGGGCTGAAATTTGAGCTGAGGTTATATGAAAGTCTAATTCCTGAGAGGTGAATTTAGAGAAAGCTATAAAGTTTCTGTAAAAAGGTTCTCAAAAAAATTCTTCAGGCCATTGAAACCAGTTGAAACTTTCAAAATTTATTATTTAGAGTTTTTTCATGACACAAAACAAGTTGGAAGTTGTTATGAAATTCGCAACTAAATTTACAGATTTTCTTATGGCTTTCGAGCCGGATCTCAGGTTACTGCAGGAAAACAACCCTGACATCATTTCCAAACGGTCATTTTAAGCAGAAACAAAAATAAAAAGAAAATCCAATTTTTGGCTCTGGAAAATTTTCAAAATCTTGACATGGTCATGAACAATTGAAACAACTTGAAACAAATTATATACAGCCATTGAGAATTTTGCTTTACAAGTGTCACATTCAAAAGGATGAATAACGCCTTTGCGCTCAAATTTCGCTTTACAAGTGTCACATTCAAAAAGATAAATATCCAAATGTGTCGAAATGTGATCCTTTAAATTGCCTTTTCGTTTGAATTTCGCTTTGCAAGTGTCACATCCAAAAAGACAAATATCCGAATATGTAATTGATACAGTATTGCAAATAAAAAATTGGAACTTCCTAATAACAAACAAATTCCCGGGGCCCGTAAGACCTGAGAGGCCTGGATTCTAAAAAAAAAAGAAAGTGGGAGGTCCGTTATCATTTATTTGGGGTACCAAAAGAAAAGGGCCCGTTATTATTTTTTTTCACCGAGGCCCGACCCAGCTCTCGGCGGCCCTGTATGTTGGCCAGATATTTTCAATTATTGCAAATTAAGTACAAAGTTTCTTATTCTACCAGCCAGTAGATTTCAAGTTTTTGAAAGCCCGCAGGGCTCGAGTAAATAAGTGTGCCTGCAGGGCTCCAGTAAATCAAGGCGCCCGCAGGGCGCGAGTAAAATAGTGCGCCCGTAGGGCGCAAGTTATCAATGAAAACTCCCATTACAAACATTCGTGCCCATAGGGCACGAATAACATCAAAAATCCTTCACTTACATCAATATAATTGAAATTTTTCAAAATATTTCTTTTATCGTTCGATACTTTTTTGCTATTCTTTGTAGGTAATTTAATTATCTTTCAAAAGAAACCAGATTCAAGATAATCAGTTCGAAATCACCAAAGTTATAAGCAAAAAGGTAACGCCGTGTCAGGTCTCCGAAATTTTCCAATATAAAAATATTTTCTATTTTTTTGCGGGCTTAGGAAGCGTCGGAGCAAAAAACACCAGGAGAGATTTTCGACGTATTTTTTACTCCTCTATCTGGTGAAAATTTTAAATTTTCAAAATTCGGAAAAATAAATGCAGGGCACGTATACCCCATTACACGCCCTTTTTCAAAATTAGGGGGATAGGGGCTAAAACCTTTCCGATAAGTCGTAGAGGGCTGAAACTTGAAATTTCAACTTTTTTAGACCCCTTTTACTCATTCCAAATTTCCACCAAATCGGCCCCAAAATAATGTTTAGTGTCCCCTCAGAATCAGAATTCAAAGGGGGTATCCTTAAAAAATCTCAATTTTCTTATTTTTCAGTTTTGCTCAAAATTAGTGGGAAACAACCCTGACATCAATTCCAAATGGTCATTTTAAGAGGGGCGTTTAAATAAAATGTCATTTACAGACCTTCACAAATTTCTGTTCAATTCCAAATTTAGACCACTTTTCAGTGAAATGAAGTTATGTTCATAACAATAATAGATTGGAGTATATAGTTCGAAGCATTTTTGGTTGCAAAATACGCATTCTAAATAGTAAAATTATTACCAATTTTGTTGACCACAATATGCAAATTTTGGTCGCGGATTTAAATGAAAAAGGGATAAACATATAGAGTAGCACACCAACAATAAATTTCCAAAATTTCGGATAGTAAAATGCTGGAAAAAATTAATAGAACAGAATTTTCGAAAATTATAATGTTTGTATCACAAAATTAATCAAAATCTGCCAAACAACGAGGTGATTGCTCTTATTTTCAGCAAAGACTCAAACCAAACGTGTGTTCAGCGCTTCTCTAAAAGATGTCGCTGAGTTCGGGAAGGGTAGTCACTTCTTTTAAACGCCATTAGAAACTGTTTTACCTAGCTAAAAATGTGAAATACTATTATTTCATTTGTATTTGAATAAAATTATTTAGTCCACTATAAATTACTGTGTAAACGAATTGATATTGAAGATGTCGCCATCTACTTGTAAATAAGTCAATCACTTACAGAGAATTTGAACACCTGTGATTAAAAAATCTTTAATGTATGTCATAAAGCCCAAAAGATGGCGCGCTGGCTCTTATCTGACGCCCCTCTTAAGCAGAAACAAAAATAAAAATAAAATCCTATTTTTGACTGGAAGATTTTCAAAATCTTGACATGGTCATGAACAATTGCCCATATCTTTAGTACATTTTCAGCACCTTGAAACAAATTATATTAAAATTGAGTCTGATAGAAATATTGTAAATTACAAGCCATTGAGAATTTTGCTTTACAAGTGTCACATACAAAAGGATGAATAACGCCTTTGCGCTTAATTTTCGCTTTACAAGTGTCACATTCAAAAGGATAAATATCCAAATGTGTCGAAATGTGATCCTTTAAATTGGTTTTTCGTTTAAATTTGGCTTTGCAAATATTACATGCAAAAGGATAAATATCCGAGTGTGTTAAAATGCGATCCTTTAGATTGCCTTTTCGTTGGAATTTCGCTTTGCAAGTGTCACATTTGAAAAGACATATATCCGAATGTGTAATTGAATGATATTTCAAGCTTGTTTCAGTTTTGCTCAATTTTGACTTCATAAATCGATAGAGTGGGTCAAAGTTAGTGGGAAACAACCCTAACATCAATTCCAAATGGTCATTTTAAGCAGAAACAAAAATAAAAATAAAATCCTATTTTTGACTGGAAGATTTTCAAAATCTTGACATGGTCATGAACAATTGCCCATATCTTTAGTAAATATTCAGCAACTTGAAACAAATTATATACCATTGAAAAGAGCATAAAATTCTCTATAAATTAGTGCAAAATTGAGTTTGATAGCTCAAATAGTTTTTGAGCAATCAAGCCTCAAAGTTGACTTTTAGTCCAAATTTTGTCAAAAACTTCAAACTCAATTTGCCTAAAAACTATAAATCTGGGAATATTGTAAATTACAGGCCATTTAGAGCTTAATGAAAGCTACAAATGCTGGAAATTTTAATGCAATTTGGTCAACGGTTACCGAATATTTGAGGTTTGAATATTTTGAAATCAGAATTCAAAGGGGTTACCCTTATGAAAAACTCGATTTTTTAATTTTTCAATTTTGCTCAATTTTGACTTCATTAATCGATAAAGCGGGTCAAAATTAGTGGAAAACAACCCTGACATCAATTCCAAATGGCCATTTTAAGCAGAAACAAAAATAAAAAGAAAATCCTATTTTTGGCTTTGGAAGATTTTCAAAATCTTGACATGGTCATGAATAATTGCCCATATCTTTGGTAAATTTTAAGCAACTTGAAACAAATTGTATACCATTGAAAAGAGCATTAAATTCTCTATAAATCTTTGCAAAATTGAGTTTGATAGCTGAAATGGTTTTAGAGCAATTGAGCCTCAAAGTTGACTTCTAGTCCAAATTATATACCATTGCAGATAAGATAATTGGGACAACACATTTCACCTATGAGGATTTATCGATCGTTCTATTACAAATTGAGGCTATTCTCAATTCACGCCCTTTACATTCCATGTCCGATCCCACTGACCTTAATCCTATCACTCCCAGCCACTTCCTAATAGGGCGTCCTTAGCATTACCAGAACGGCCATTGCAACACATACCCGAAAATCGCCTTGTTACCAATGGGCCTTAAGTTTTCCCTTTGGTTTCCTAGATGTCGGTTTGATTTTTGGCTCGAAAATTTGAATCTATAAACCTAAAATCCCTAACTTTTTTTCCCTAGAACAAAAATTCCTGCGTCAAGGTACCAAAAAGGAAAAACCGATTCCTGACAGAACCGCATTTTCGTCGAGAATAAGCAGCAGCTTTTTGCTTTTCTCGTGGCTTTTTGGCCGATTTTTGAAAGGTTTAGGCCCAAATAATTCGTCAAAAGGTGGCTATTAGGTCTTTTATAGCACCAAAGCACTATTTTGCTGATTTATTGTCGAATTACTGGAAAAAAACCTATAGACTGTGGTTCCACGTTTTTGGGTTTGTGCAAAAAAGACCAATTTCCCATTGACAAATTCATTTGAAATTTGCAGAAATTTTTGAAGATGCTGAATCATCTATAGATAGGCGCATAAGAAACAAAATTCCTAGAGATGACATAAAAACGTTCATGGACCTACTGGTGTGAAGCCGATCCATTGAAATTATGTTTGAAAAAAATCCAAACCACAAATATGAATTCAAGGCAAAATACACAAAGGTCAAGTGACAATAGAAATCGTATAAGGCTAAAATGTGCTTATTGTCAACGTTTAGGACACCA